GCCCCGCTCCTGCGGTCCGCCTCCGAGTTCTAAAGCCCCCCCTCAACTCCGCCCCCTACAGCATGGCCACGCCCCTGCATGGGCGGGCCTCCTCAGCCCTCTGGGCCCGCCCCCTGCTTATCCTCTGGCCAACCACAGCGCTCTAACCCCGCCCCCTTTGGGCTCTAGCCCCGCCCCAGCACTTCACTATCTCTTTTTTTCTAAGTGCAGTGCTTGGCCCTCGTCCCCAGCTAACTCCTGCCACGCTCCAGTGTTACACCCCAAAACCAAAACCAAGCTCACTGCTCTAGAGTCGATTCCGACTTACAACAACCCTACAGGACCGAGGAGAACTGCCCCATAGGGTTTCCAAGGGTGTAATCTTTACAGAAGCAGACTGCCACATCTTTCTCCTGCAGAGTTGCTGGTGGGTTCAAGCCAACTTTTCAGTTATCAGCTGAGTGCTTAACCACCACCAGCGCCAGCAGAACTCCTTGTGTTACATCAAAAAAAAACGAACCCGTTGTTGTCGACTCGATTCTGACTCAGCGACCCTATAAGACAGAGTAGAACTGCCCCATACAGTTTCCAAGCAATGGCTGGTAGCTTCGAACTGTCGATCTTTTTGTTAGCAGCTCTTAGCAGCCAAATTCTTAAACCACTAGCCACACGGGCCTCTAAAATTCGAACTCTGCCCCCATTTTCTAGCCTCCTCCACTTTCCCTAGCCCCGCCCCCTTTCCTGACAAGAGCTTCATCCAGGCATCTAGCCCCGCCTCCGGACTCCGCTGGCGTTCAGTCCTGCCCCTCCTTAGATGCAGCCTTGCCCCAGTTGCAATTCCCCCTTAAACCACTATTTGACTCGCCCTCTGTTCAGCTCTGGCCTCAACCATCTCTAGCCCGGGCTCCACCCCTTTTCTCCTCCTCACTCTGCTGGTCTCAGCACTGCACTCTTACCACGCCCCCCGCCTGTGGCCCCGCCCCACATCAGTGTAAATAACTCCCATCTTAACTCGCTCTCATAAGCCTAACCCCACCCCTACATCTTAGCCCTGCCCCACAATCTAACTCCGCCTTCCAGAATTCCGGCCCCGCGCGAGCACCCAAACCAAGCCCCCATCCGGACCTGCCTCCTCCTCCCGCTACGTTCAGCTGCCCTTTCCCGAGTCCAGAGGCCGAACCTCATGCCCGGAGGTCCCAGCTCCGTCCCACGTCCCAGTCACGCCCCTTGCCCCAGCTCTTACCCCCCACATCCACAGTTTCCCTCTCCCTAGAGCCATGGGGTCCAGGGTGGGCTCTGGAGAGGAGGGAGCACAGCCCAGAAATCCGGATAAACTTCCTCCTGCCCCCCTATCAAGGCGAGGGTGCTTCAGGACCCTCCCAGCAGCGTCTTCAGGAATTCGGGGAGGCCTGCGGGAGTGGGGAGGGAAGGCGTATCAGCAGGTGAAGACGATCCCCTTCCTCCCGCCTCGGAAAAGCCCGAAAGCAAGGCAGGCAGCCCGGCCTGCCCCGCAGGAACACAGTTCAAAGGTTAGCGGAAGCACTACGTTTGATTCAAGTCCGTTAAGAGTCACTGGCTGTTTGCCATACCCCAAATGTTAGCCGCTGGAGGCAGGAAATTCTGTCTGGGGACAGGCTCTTAGTACCCCACGGCCTCCACACGTGTGTGCCTCGGCGGCTCAGCCCACCCAGGTGCCTCGATTTCCCCCATTGCTGGGGCTGGACAACAGTCCCGGCCCCACCGCATTCCCTGCCCCTGGCTCCTCCCCCCTTACATTTAACCCTCTCCTGGCTGGCGTGTGGCAAAAGCAGAGGACAGAGCAGCGCGGCGGCGGGAGCTTAGTGCGGAGCGGAGACGCCCGGCCGGCGGGCGCGGTCAGCGAGCGGCCCCGGGGGGCGGGGCGGCCGCCACCACCTTGCAGAAACGCACCCTCTGGAAGTCGGTGATCTCCGCCGTCTCATGGGCCTCGGGGCCTGCCTCTGGAAAGAGAAGAGGCGGTCAGCGAAGGGACAACAGTCTCCCCACCCCAGCCCCGTGCCCTCCACTTGGGCCCGGAACACCCTTCCCTGTCCAGCCCCGCCCCTCATCCCAGTGCAGCAGCTGGGCCCGTGCTAAACTGTTTACGAGCCTTTGGCTTCTTTAATCCGCTCAGGGGACCCACGAAGCAACATTCACCCTGCAATATACACCCTGCTTACAACCAAGGAAACACTGGTGAGGCGCAGCGACAGACACCCACGAACACATGGCCCTAAACTCTGTCCCCTCGGACCCTACAGCCACAACCCCGTCTCCCAGCCTGAGCCAACCTCCATCAAGCTAGCCCTACCGGATCTGCCCTCCCGTTTCCTTCCTCTCACCTGACATTCGAACCAGAACTACCCTGACTGCCTCCCAAACCTAATCCCACTCCAGGGGAGAGGTGAGGTGGTCCCTGCTTCGCAGCCTCGCTCCCATGGAGTGGGTGGGGCAGGGTCGCTCCCTGGCTACCACCGGGTGGAGGTGAAAGAGTTCGGACTTTTGTTCCCGCTCAGTTGGGCCAATTAGGGGTCTGCCCCCAAATTCTCATCAGGTCCGCATTTTCTATCCTAATTTGCCCCTACTTGGTTGCGCCTCAAAACTGTAATGCCACCCACAGCTAAACCCTTAATCCGTCCCTACCCTACTCTTATTTACCTCTGAGTCCAATTCTACTTTTTAATCCAGCCTTTAGGTGCTCCCAAAGAACGTAGCCCCCCACCACGTAGCCTTTAGACTGCTTTCCAAAACCCCGCTTCAAAATTCGGATCCTATCCTTGCTCCACCCCCCCACACACACACACACAACTCCCATTTGCTTGGCCCCAAAAGGCTACTCCTTCCCACAGCTTCACCACCTTAGCCTGGCCCTACCCAATCCGTGAAGTCATTGGCCCTGCCAAGCTCCGCAAAGCATGCTACCACCACCCCCAGCTCCTACCCTACCCCTACACAGACATCTCTTCCTCCAACCCCTCCTACCCCTCCGCCCGGAGGGAAGAGGAAGACATCACCGCCTCAGCCTGCGCTGCCCACTCCCCACCTGAAGCTGCCTCAGACCCCTTCTCTTCAGCTTTCTGGCTTCCTGGGAGGCTGGGCCCACTCTCCACGGAGGCGGAAGCCGGCTGGTCACCTCCTGGGAAAGGGGGAGGCCCAGTCAGCCCCTTCCCCTGCACACATCCCCCCACCCCCACCCCAAGACAGCCACTCTGAAGGAGTTAGAGAGGGCTCAAGGACACACTTAGGGGAATGTCATTTGAGGATGTGAATTCTTTATTGGGAATGGCCTGGGTCAAGGGCAGAATCTCGAGGTGGGCATTCCAGAAATGGGAGCCAGAGGTGGGGGAGGGGACTGGCAGTACAGAGAGGAGCATGGACTGCCCTTCCCAGCCACCAGGGCTGTGGGGGGAGCTGGGGTCCTGAGGCCCAGCCCCCTAGGGGGCTCTGCCCACCACCGCACCCCTTGAGCACACCCACAGGCAGCCAGCTTCATGCATTCTCAAAAGGCCAGGCCTCACCCGGAGAAAGGGCACCAGCCGGGTGGGCGGTCCGGGGGGAGTTCAGCTCCATCTCTTCACCCCAGTCGGATACAGGCTGGTGGCCCCCAGGGGGCGAGAAGGGGCTGGTCGGTGTGGCAGGGGCCTGGGCAAGCAGCAGGGACTCCTCGGGCGTGGAAGGTGCTGGGTCGGCCGGCTCACTGGCAGGGTGCCCAGTGGAGTCGGCCTCTTGGGGGTGGTGGTCTGGGGCAGTTTCTTCCTCCTCCTCCGCACCCTCTTCATCCTCCTCCATCTCCTCCTCCTCCTCCTCACTCTCATCCTCACTTATGTCCTCCCACTCCTCGTCCTCCTCCCCCTCGTACTCTTCCCCCTCGTCTTCAGGAGGCCGGTGGGCAGGGGCAGGAGCCTCGGGTGGCTGCGAGGGACACAAGGCAGGTGAGTGAAAGGGTGCTGGGCCCTCAGCACCCACATACCCCCCACCCTGAGATGACAGCCCAGCCATACCTGTGTGTGCAACTCCTCGGGGGGAGTGGGCTGGGGGGGCTCAGGGGCCGGGGACACTGTCTCCTTTGTCTCCCAACGGTCATCGTGGTCGCTGGAGGGGGCAGAAGAAGGGGTAAGGCCCAGGTGGACAGGAGGAGCTGCAGAATTCAACTGAGGGGTAGGGGCTGGGGACTTCAGCACGAGGACCCAGGCTTGTTGGAGCAGTTGGCGGTGAGGAGGGGATGGTGGCATGTGGCCCCAGGTGGCAGGGACAGACAGATGGGGGGGGAGCCACATGGCAGAAGGGGAGATACGTGGGAAGGGTGGAAGGAACAGAAGAGGGCTGAGTTGAGACCCAGACCCCAGCCCCACAAAACGAAGGGCCAGACCAAGAGAGATCAGAGAGACAGGCCCAAGACCAAGAAAGACACAGACGTAGAGAGAGACATGGAAAGAGACACACAGATATATCCATACCAACACCAAAAAATCCAAACTCATTGCTGTCAAGTCGATGCCAACTCACGGCAACCCCATGTGTTACAGAGTAGAACTGCTCCACTGCTCCACAGGGTTTTCTTGGCTGTGATTTTTACAGAGGCAGACTGCCAGGCCTTTCTTCCATGGTGCCACTGGGTGAGCTCAAACTGCCAACCTTTAGTTAACAGCCAACTGCAAACCATGTGCACCACCCAGGGACCTATAAACCCACACAGACACACACAGATCAGGGAAGAGGACAGGGGCCAGAGCCACAGCCCCACTACAGGTGTGGACATACTGGGGACGGGGTGCCCACCTGTAGGCACGGGGGACAGCCTTGGCCTGAGGACGGCTGCTCTTTCTCCTCCTGCGTCTGCTGACCTCAGCTTTGTGCTGGGATAGGAACTCCCCAAAAGTGGGGGGCTTAGGGGGCCGGGCCCAGGGTTGGTTATCTGAAACAGAACCCAGGAGTTGTCTCAGGCATGTGGCCCAAACTACCTCCCACACCCTTTACAACCCAGCCCAGCTGGCTGCCCCACCCAGGTCCAAGGCTAGCCACTCACCATAGCGGTGGGATGGTTCAAGTGCAGGGGCTGGGCCATCCTTGAACCTTGAGAGAGAGAAAGAGGATGAGCTGGTGACTGGGACACAGAGGGAACAGGGGGATAGAAAGAGATGAGGGAGAAAGATGTAGGGCAGGGTCAGAAATCAGGATCAGAAGAGAGATGGTCAAACACAGGGTCACTGATGAGAAGGCAGATGGGATTAAGTGACAGACAAGAGGCAAATATGATGTTGTAATGGCAAATACAGGGAAAGATTCAGAATTTGACAAACCCCCGAAACAAAGTTTGGTGTCACTATGGACCCTTTTGTAGAACACAAGGCCCCTGGGTTTCCTGTCTGACCTCATTTTCTATCACTCTCTTTCCTTTCTCCAGCTACACAGGTTATCCTACTACACCCGCTCCTGCCTCAGGGCCTTTGCACCTGCTACTCCTGCCTGGAACACTCTTCCCCCAGATGTTCCAGTGGCTTGCTCCCTCACTTCCTTTAGGCCTCAGCTCAGGGGCCTTCCCTAACGCCCCACCACCAACCGAAAATAATCATCCCCATCCTTCCCTATCTCCTTACTCAGCTTCAATATTCCTCATAATGAGTAGACTATATATCTTCAGGTAGTCTCCAACTTACAACAGGATTCCATTCCAACAACTCCATATTAAGTCAGTTCTGATCTAAGTTGAATACCTCATTTTTTTTTTTTTTTTAGTTTTCAATATTATTGCCTTTTATTATCAGTATCTTTATAAATCTGATTTTATCTTTAGGAGTTGGGAACATTACATATAAACTTGGATACATTTTAATACACATATACACACATAAAAAAATACACAAATCATAAAAGAAAAAAAAATAGATGGTCATAAATGCAGTTTGTCATAACCAGAATACATCATTAGCCAGGGACTGTGTGGATCATAACAAATTATGGGTAACTTCGCAAAGAATGGGAATTCCAGAACACTTGATCGTGCTCACGAGGAACCTGTACATAGATCAAGAGGCAGTTGTTCAGACAGAATGACGGACTACTGCATGGTTTAAAGTCAGGAAAGTTGTGTGTCAGGGTTGTATCCTTTCACCATACCTATTCAATCTGTATGCTGAGCAAATAATCCGAGAAGCTGTACTATATGAAGAAGAACAGGGCATCAGGATTAGAGGAAGACTCATTAACAACCTGCACTATGCAGATGACACAACCTTGCTTGCTGAAAGTGAAGAGGACCTGAAGCACTTACTGGTGAAGACCAAAGACCACAGCCTTCAGTATGGATTACACCTCAACATAAACAAAACAAAAATCCTCACAACTGGACCAACAAGCAACATATGATAAACGGAGAAAGACTGAAGCTGTCAAGGATTTCATTTTACTTGGATCCACAATCAACGCCCACAGAAGCAGCAGTCAGGAAATCAAAAGACACATTGCATTGGGCAAATCTGCTGCAAAAGACCTCTTCAAAGTGTTGAAAAGCAAAGACGTCACCTTGAAGACTAAGGGGCGCCTGACTGAAGCCATAGTATTTTCAGTCGCGTTACTTGCATGCTAAAGCTTGACAATGAATAAGGAAGACTGAAGAAGAATTGATGACTTTGAATTGGGGTGTTGGCAAAGAATATTGAATATACCATGGACTGCCAAAAGAACGAACACATCTGTCTTGGAAGAAGTACAACCAGAATGCTCCTTAGAAGGAAGGATGGCGAGACTAGATCTTACATACTTTGGACATGTCGTCAGGAAGGATCAGACCCTGGAGAAGGACATCATACTTGGAAAAGTAGAGGGTCACTGAAAAAGAGAAAGACCCTCAACGAGAAGGACTGACACAGTGGCTGCAACACTGGGTTCAAGCATAACAACGATTGTGAGGATGGTGCAGGACCAAGCAGCGTTTTCTTCTGTAGTACACGGGGTCGCTATGAGTCAGAACCAACTCGACGGCACCTAACAACAACACAGGCAGTCTCCAGGTTACGAACGAGATCCGTTCCTAAGTGTGTCTTTAAGAATTTCTACGTAAGTCGGAACAGGTGCATATGGCTCTTATTTAGCCTTACTCTAGTGCAAGAAAAGGCTCAAAACCTTTTCAATGATTTAAAAGCTGCATGTGCAGCAAGTGAAGGTGACTGTAATGAAGAAATCTGTTGCAAGTAGGAGTTGGTTCAACCATTCCACAGTGAGGGCAAATTTACATAACATCAAAGGGCAAGTATGAGTTGTCCATAAGGTGGATATTCCTAACCTGGGAACCTACTGTTACCTGTATTCATTGCACATCTTCCCACTAGATTATAAGTTCCATGAAGGCAGAAACGCTGTACTCACTGCTGCATCCCCATCATCTAAAACCTACGACACACAGAAATCAAGTATCTGTTCATAAAGTCAATGCGTACATACTTTCATTAGATTTCTGGGAAAGAAGACTAATAAACAGAATGCTTTTGGGAAACAAGGGAAAAACTAGTGCTTTCTCATTCTTAACCCTGAGAACCTCTCCCAAAAGCCCAGTCACCTACATCTTAGAGAGATCAGCTACAATACTGGTGCAAATTATTTCTCACACTTGCACAAGTTTAGCTCACAGTCCAAAAAACATTCCCAACCACCAGGCAGATAGACAAAATCATCCTTCTTTAGTCAGAACCAAGAGTAAAGAGACTGGAGAATTCCTCGAGATTACTGCCCTGAGATACTGTTCAAACTCTGAACCAAAACTAACCCAAGGACATCTTGTAGCTAAATAACAAATTGTCTCAAAAAAATATATCACCCATAAGTACTGTTCTCCTTGAAAAAAAAACACCTATGTGAGACCAAGCAGTCAACAATTACCTTAAAACAAAGATGAGACAATACTAGGGCAGGGACACTAGATTAATGGAAACAGAACCACCACAATGGAAATAATGAGAATGTTCACATAATGTGAAGAATGTCACCGGTGTCACTGAACAACTTGTGTAAAAACTGTTGAATGAGAACCTAAACTGCTGTGTAAACCTTCACTGAAAACACAATATTACTTTTAAAAAAAGGAGTAAAGGATAGAGATATACGAAAACTCCCAAGGCAGGAGAGGACATGGGAGTGGAGTGAAAGCTATCAGCTCTTTCAGAACCTTCTCCAGAAGACGGAGAGTTGGTCTCCCTGTCAATGATACATGATGCCTTTAAGTCTGACTGACTAGATGTTTCCTAGGACCCAAAAGGGAACAAAATTAGACTTGAAGATAATAATGCCAGAGGGATAAGATGGTGGAAAGGCATGGAGAGAAGTCCAGGGAGCTGGGTGGTTAGGGCATGAGTTAAAAGGCTGGAGGGAGGATATAATAGTCTCATCACGCTAGTAATTCCTCATGCCCTCCCTACGTTGGAATTTACAGCCATGCTTTTGGCTGTGGGGTTTGAGCATCTACCAGAGTGGGCAGAGTTTACTCCCCACCAGCAATGCTGGGTCTTTGGACATGTACCCACTTGCCCTCTTGCGCATCTAAACACCATGACAAGTGCATCCCCAGGTAGCTGCTGCCCCTTGGCCTGAGCCCCAGGATGGACACCCATGGAGCAGAGCTGAGCTCAACCAACAGCGAGGAGCCATACTGTCATGGTTTGAATTATGTCCCCCAAAAAATGTGTGTATCAATTTGGCTAGGCCATGATTCCTGGTACTGTGTGATTTTCCTGTATGTTGTAAACCTGCCTCTATGATGTTAATGAGGGAGGATGGGTGGCAGTTGTGTTAGTAAGGCAGGACCTGATCTATAGGACTGGATTGTGTCCCGAGGCAATCTCTTGAGATATAAAAGACAGAAGTGAGCAGTGAGACAGGGGACCTCATACCATCAAGAAAGCAGTGCCAGGAGCAGAGTGTGTCCTTTGGACCGGGGTCCCTGCATAGAGAAACTCCTAGTCTGGGGGAACACTGAAGGGAAGAAGGCCAACAGAGAAAAAAAGCCTTCCCTGGAGCTGACGCCCTGAATTTGGACTTTTAGCCTACTTTACTGTAAGGAAATAAATTAAAGCCATCCACTTGTGGTATTTCTGTTGTAGCAGCACTAGATGACTGTGACACATACCCAGCTGGACCACAGCTTGAAGTCCAGCCTGATCCGCCAAACCCAGCTGTGCTGGGAGCACATGAGAAGCAAATGCAGCTTTTTTATGCTACTGAGATTTGGAGGTTGTTACACAGTGTGACTGTAGCCATCTCTGACACACAAGGGGAGAAAGCCAGAGAAAGAATCAAAGGAGTCAGAAGTCAGGGCCAAGGTCAAGGAGCCAGTGGGGGCGAGCGGGGAAGACACTCACATCCCGTCGGTCTTCTCAGCATCCCACTCCCGCCGCCACTGGCCGGTGGGCTTCCGGTGCCTCTGCAGCCGCTCCTGGTCGATCTTCTCCCGCTCCTGCTTCCACCGCAGGTACTCTGACCGCTCCCGGCCGGTCATGGACAGCGTCATGTCGCCAGCACCTCGCAGGCCAGCCCGGCGGCCCTGCACCCGGCCAACAGCCAGTTACGACCCTGTTCCACAACCCCACCTCCCACCCCCACCTTGCGCCTTATAAACTCAGAGAGGGGGAGCCAATGCCCAAGGCCACACAGGGAGGTGGCAACAGGGCGGAGATTAGAACCAGGTCTACTCCAATGGCACCTCCTCTGGGAGGCCATCCCAGATCTCTCCTTCTTAAGTAGCACCCCTGTTGCTCCCCTCATCCTGCTTGCCTGGTAAATAGGATTAATGTTAGTAATGAAAGGAGATCCCCAAAACATGCCATAAAGCTATAATTCACGCAGATGGGACTGGCACAAGTTCCGACAAGATAATTCATTTGAACAACTGAGTCCAGGGGCGTGTCTCTCCCTCCTCTCCTCGGCTGTACTGCCACCCCTCGCGTGGCCCCTGAACATGGTGGGTGCCTCATAAATATTCCTACTACCAAGAAGGCAGGAAAACTTGCTCAGTAGGAAACAACCCGTACCAGCTGCCGTCGAGTCGTCTCCGACTTGTGACAACCCCACGTGTGTTAGAGTAGAACTGTGCTCCGCATGGTTTTCAATGGCTGGTTTCTGGAAACAGATCGACAGGCCTTTCTTCTGAGATGCCTCTGGATGGACTCAAACTGCCAACCTTTTAGTTAGCAGCCGAGCACATTAACTGTTTACACCACCCAGGGACTCCTCACAGGAAACAAAACATACTACAAATCCATGATAATTAAAACACTGCTATCCAGGCACATGGAGCCTGGGTAGCACAAGCGGTTTGCACTCAACTACTAACTTAAAGGTTGGCGGTTTGAACCCACCCAGCAGCTCCACAGAAGAAAGGTCTGGCAATCTGCTTCCATAAAGACCGTAGCCAAAAACGCCCTACGGAGCAGTTCTACTCTGTAACACATGGGGTTGCCAAGAGTCGGGGACTGACTCAACCGCACCTAACAACAACACAGCAGCACAAAAACAAGGAAGGTAAGGCACTCCGGCCCTGGTCGGCCGTGTTCACTGCTGTCCTGGAGCCGTGTCTGGCACACAGTAAGCACTCAACAACTATAATGCTGCCCCAGTGAGAAACTGGTGCAGAACCCACAGTGCCTGGGGATGCCTGGCTGCCAGCACCCACCTGCCGTTCCTGCTCAAGGCCGCAGCGCACCCGCTCGAAGTCAGGGCCCCCCCAGTTGCGCCCGTGCCGGCGGCTGCCCTCTCGGCGGTCTCGCTCAGGCTCCTCCAGGGGCCCGCTGCGCCGCCGGGGGTCGTCCAGGAAGTTGCGCACCGGGTTTGGCTCCAGCACCCCCTCCTGTTGGCACAGGGAGTGAGGGCGTTGGCTGACTCACCGGCAGCCCAGGCAGCTCTGCCCCACCTTGAGGGACGCCCAGGCACTGACCCTCTGGTTCCGCTCGTACTCTGCAATCTTCTCCATCTCCTCGTTCATTTTCTCAATGTTCTGCCGGCGCCGCTCCTCCCACTCCTGCAGGGAGACAGACAAGACAGCTGGTGTCAGTCAGACCTGCTCAGCCTGAAGGTTTGTTACGATCTGGGCAAAGAAGAGTTAGCATGGTCCTCAAAAAGTCCAACACAGAACTACCATGTGACCTAACAATTCCACTCCTACGTACAGGCCCAAAAGATTTCAAAGCAGAGAGCCAAACAGATACTTGCCTACAATGTTCACTGCAGCACTAACTATTCACAATAGTCAAAAGGTGAAACAACTCAAGTGTCCACCAACAAATGAATGTGTAAACAAAGTGTTGTCCATACGTACCACAAAGTATTACTCAGCAGTAAAGAGAACAAAGTCCTGATACATGCTACATCGTGGAAGAACCTTGAAAACGTTATGCGAAATAAAATAAGTCAGACACAAAAGGACAAATATCGTATCATCCCACTTGCTCCTTAGAAGCAAAGATGCCGAAACCTCCTCTCACATACTCTGGACGTGTTATCAGGAGGGATCAGTCCCTGAAGAAGAACATTATGCCTGGTAAAGCAGAGGGTCAGAAAAAAAGAGGAAGACCCTCAACAAGGTGGACTGATACAATGGCTGCAACAATGGGTTCAAGCGTAACGATTATGAGGACGAGGCAGTGTTTCATTTGGTTGTACACAAGAGTTGTTATGAGTCAGAACCGACTCGACAGTACCTAACAACAACTTTTATGAAATATCGAGAATAAGCCAATGCCCAGAGACCAAAGTTTATTTGTGGCTACCAGGGGCAGGAGGGGGAGATGGAATTCTTAAAGAGATAGTGGGTTTCTGCTAAGGGTAATTAAGAAAAATTCGGAAATGGACAGTGGTGATGTTTGTACAACTTGGTGAACATAGTACCACTGCATTTTACACATAACAAATGTTGAAAAGCAGAAGTTCTGTTACGTATGATCATACCACCAAAAAAAAACCAGGAAAACACAACACTGGAAGACACTCAGCTTCTGTTAAGAGTGAGAGAGAAATTCAGGAACAGTTAACGGTGACAATTGAACAACATGATGAACACGTAATGTCACTGAACTGTACACGTAAAGACTGCAGAAATAGCAAATGTTTTGTTACCTATTTATTTACCACAATTAAAAAAAAAAAAATTACCACAGGAGGCCTGAGACTACTCTCTTTCGAAAGGCCTGGCGCCAACAGTTAAGGGATAAGCAAGGCTTACTGTGCCTAGACTGTACAAACACCACAGTTGAGGCCCGACACCTCCTTTTCTTCTGGAAGTCTGGAATTTGGGTTCATGCCAGGCAGAAGGTGGCTACATGACCAGTCCTCCATCAAAACCCTGGGCACCAAGGCTCTCCTGACTTTCCCTGGTGGAGACCATTCCACACGTGTTGTCACAGCTTGTTGCTGGGGGAATTACATGCATCCTGTGTGATTCCACGGGAAGAGGAGTCTGGAAACTTGTGCCTGGTTTCCCCCAGACTTTGCCCCATGCACCTTTTCCCTTTCCTGATCTTGCTTTGTATCCTTTCACTGTAGTAAACCTAAGCCATGCATTCAACTATATGCCGAGTCCTGGGAGTCTTTCTAGCAAACTGCAAAACCTGGGAGTGGCCTTGGGGAACCTGACACCCCATTGTTGCTGCAATAATGACATTATCAGCAATGATAATGACTTGGCAGATGACTAGGTGACCTCCCACAATCCATTCTCCCCTTCTTCCATGGAAATAGCATTTTAGATGCACACACGGCCAACCAGCCAGAGACGATGTTTTCATTTCCCAGCCTCCTTTGCAGCTAGGGGTAGCCAGGAGTCTGGGTTTCCACCAACAGAACGTGCGAAGTGATGAACATGACCCTTCTGTTTCCCTTCCCATGAATTAGACCTCAACTATGCCAGTGACCTGGCTTTGACCATGCACGCAAGGACCACACCCTCTAGAACAACCAAGCAGCAAGAAGGCAGGAACCAGGGCCTCCCTATCTGGACTGCTCACCTCTCCGCAGGGCTCAGCATATGAGAGAAATGAACTTCCACCTTACTTAAGCCACAGTATCATGGCGCCTTTTTGTTACAGCAGCTTAGTGTGTGCAGCTAACAAATATCCACAAGTGACGTTTCCTGAGCACTTACTCTGTTCCCGGCACCATGCTGAGGGCTTCAATGCTCAAGGTCAGGATACCTACCATAATCTGCAAGTTAAACCATCATTTCCATCCAAAAGCAAAAACCCGGAGACCGACAAAAAGGAAGTGAGCTGCCTAAAGATGTGAAACTAACGGAACCAGGTTGCACCCAAGTCCAGGGAGGGCTATAAGTCGTTATGCTAGACAGATAGCTCCCTGCCTTGCTCACCTGTGGGGGGAAAGGGCAGTTTCGATAAGAACATCGCTCCCCACAAACCAATTCAGGGATAGGGACAGACGTAAACAGAGTTAGGAGGACAGAGCTCGCACACCTAAACACACCAGACGAACAGCAAACAGAGACAGAGAGGGCGTACATGGACAGACAGACAGCATGCAGAGACAGACAAACCAGGAGTGCGGGGATGGACAGGGAGGGCAGACACAGACAGACAAGGAGTGCCCAGATGGAAAGCATACAGATGGACAGCGTGCAGAAACAGAGGGACAAACAGGGTGTGCAGAGAAAAAAGGACAGGGTGCCAGAAAGAGGCAAAAGAGACTGTGGCGGGGGTGGGTGATAACTAAGCACACGCCATTTAGCAAGAAAAAGGAGAGACTGAGAAACTCAACAAGGAGACAACGCAGGGGAACTGGTCTGGGGGAGGGAGAAAGAGAGAAAAGAGAAGGAAAAGGAGCAGGAGAAACAGACAGACAGACATATACGCATGAGCCAGCGAGGGAGCACTACATGGAAGGGCTGAGAGACTGAGACAGAAAGACAAACCAATAAGAAAACGGTAAAACTGAGGGCAGGAATAAAGAGAAACCACACAGAGAGACCCTGGCCAGAGGACCCAGCCCCCCGCCCAACTCCTACCTTGGATTTGCGGTCAGCAGTGGTGGTTGCGGCGTCTCCAGCCCCAGAGAGATGAGGGGCCCCTCTGCCCCGGCCCCTCCGGCCGCGGCCCCCAGCTCCTCCTCGAGGCTGCTCCCCGGGACTCTCTTCCCAGCTGCGGGCTGCCTGGCCCGCACCTGCCCGGCCTCCCCGCTGGGGAGGGGTCCGGCTCCCTTTGCTGGGCCCTGGGGGCCGAGGAGTCCCAGGAGACCTCCGGGATGGACGCAGGCTCTTCTCCTGGAAGAGGGAAAGGCGAAAAGGACAGTTACTGGGGCAGGGAGACTGGGCCACCTCAAGCCCAGGGAGGGCAGCTATCTGGATGAAGGCTACCCACGGGTCTAGGCCAGCTGGGGGACTTCTGGTTTTCAGCACTCAACCCTCGGCCCCTCCCCATCCTCAGGAACCCCCCACCCTAGTGTCGAGCTCACCACCTCAACCGCCACATTCTCCTTCTCCACCAAGCGGCCCTTCCTGGGGGCTGTCACCGCCACCCCCTCGAGTTCTGCTTTCTTCCGGTCCTCCTCAATCTCCTGGGAGCAAATGGTGGAGGAGGGGGTGTCAGGGGTCCTGCTGCAAGCTGGGATCCCACACCCCCTGAGCTCTTCCCAAGTCCTGCCCCAGCCCAGGCCTCTCCTGAGCACTAGACAAGGCCACAGCTGATCATGTCAGCGTCTTCCCCCAAACTCTATCACGGTGTCCCCTGCTCAGGACCCTCCAGTGCTAACTGTCTCTGAGTACAACACAAACCAATGCCTTCCCGTGCCCTATACGGGCCCTGTGACCTCACCTCCCATCCCCTCCCCTGGCACACTCTGGCCTCCTCAATGTTCCTAGAACACACCAGGCTGGGTCCTGTCCCAGGGCCTTTGCACTTGCTGTTCCCTCAGCTAGGAACACTCTCCCCCCAGACCTCCTGCACTCCCACACCTCCTCCAGGTCTCTGCTCACATGGCCACTGCCTGGTGAGGCCTTCCCTGACCATGCTACAGAAATCAGCTCCCTGGCATTCTCTCTCCCCGTCCCCTATTATATTTTTTATCACGGCAGGCTGTCGCTACCTGGCATCATGTGCATTTGCTTAGCGCCTGCCTCCCCCACTGCAACATAATCCACCTGAAGACAGCGTCTGCTTTGCCCACTGATGTATCCCCAAAGATAGAACAGTGCCTGACACACAACAGAAACGCAATACGCCTTTTTTTTTTTTTTTTAACGAATGAATGTATGAAGAATGAATATGTGAAACCCATTTCTCAGCCCGGGTTCCCATCTCAGGGACAGCCCCACCATCTAGCCCATCACCTATGACAAAGGCCTGGGCCTCGTCCTGGACCTCTCTCCCCTCCCGCCTCCTACCACAGTCCACCGGGCACTGACTCCCATCTGTTCTGCCCTCTAAGAATCTTGTAAGTCCACACCCTACTCTCCCTCCCCTCAGCCCTGCCCTGCGCCAGACACCTCCTCTCCCCCAGGGTCCCTGCCCCAGCTTCCTCTTTGGTCTCTGGTCTCCAGTATCACCTCGTCCCACCGAACACCCCCACAGCAGCTAGAAGGATCTTCCTAAAAGGCTGTTCTGGCATGGCCCCGCTCCTACTCAAAGCCATCTATCGCTCCCCAGTGCCCTCAGGAGGAAAAAAGCCAAACATTCAGGCTGGTGGCACTGAAGGCCCTGCATGGTCTGGCCCTTGTGGACCTCTCCAGCCCCAATGCTCAACATTCTACCAACTCACTCAACCATAAAGCCAAACTCATAACCACTGAGTTGATTCCAGCTCATGGCGGCCCCACATGTTACAGACTAGAACTGCTCCAAAGGATTTTCTTGGTTTTAATCTTCATAGAAGCAGATCACTAGGCTTTTCTTCCACAGTGCTGCTGGGTGGGTTCGAACCACCAACCTTTAGGTTAGTAGTCGAGCACAAGCAAACCACTAGCACCACCCAGGGAGCAACTCACCAACCCCTCTAAACTCCTTCTCTTGCTTCTGCGCTTTTGCACAAGCTGTTCCCTCTGCCTGAACGTGTTCCCTTCTCCTTTTCAAATGGCTAGCATCTATTTACCCTGAAGGCCTCAGCTACCCCCTCCTCCCAGAAGCCCTCCTCAATGTCCCACAGCCTAGGTCAGGCACCCCCTCTGGTCTCCCACAGCCCCTGTGCCCCCCCATCCCTGCTCTGTCCACTCTGGGTCATCACTGACTGAGGACGAGTCTCTCCTCCGCTGGACTGCAAGCCCTGGAAGGGCAGACCCAGGCTGTCTTGGCCACAGCTGAGTCCCTGGCACCACTCCTCATAGGGCCTGGCACAGTGAAGACCCCGGTGAATATGTGTGAGTGAACGAATGATGGAATGAAGGAAGGAATGCCAGGCTAAGGCATTTGGTATTGATCCTGAGAGCAATGGGGTGCCATGGAAAGGTTTTAAGGGAGGAGGTGGTATAGTCAAAATGAAAGTCTAGGAAAACTCACTGCGGGGAGGAGAGGGGGTGGGATCTCCCAGGGTGGGGCTAGGGCACCTGGTAGCGCCTGATAAGGGCCTCGTTCTTCCGCCGAAGGGCCTCAATCCTCTTGTCCAACTCAGCATCCTTCTCCTCCTTTGATTTCAGATCCAGGGTGGCCGCCTGGGAGAGGAAGTAGTGGAGGGTTGGTAAAATGCCTCTACCCATCCCAGTGCCAGTAAACCCCGAGTCTGAGAGTCAGGTGCCTGGACCCCCTCCTCCCAAGTCCCCTTCCTCGAAGCTAAGATTCTGGGAAGCCCATTTTCTATCTCACCATTTTGCTGGCTGGCTGGGGCCGTGGTCCCAGCACACCTCCCCTGCAGAATCTAGACGCAGCGCTGTGGGTTCCTGAGGACAGAGAAACAAAGAGGAAACAAGAAGCACCAAGGTCAACACCCAAAGATTACTGGCCCTCAATCCTACACCATCTTCATGAAGTGCCAGCCCCACCCCCTTCCCTGTAAAGATTTAGATCATGCTGTTGTTAGACTAGGAGCCCTGGTGGCGCAGTGGTTAAGAGCTCGGCTATTAACAAAAAGGTCAGCAATTCAAATCTGCCAGCTGCTCCTTGAAAACCCTAAGGGGCAATTTTACTCCGTCCTGTAAGATCACTATGAGTCAGAATCAACTCAACGGCAATGGGTTCGGTTTGGCTTTTTTTTTTTTTTGGTTGTTAAGACTATGCTGTTGCTGGCAGCTGCCACTGAGTCAGCCCCCAACTAATGGCAACGCCATGCATAACAGAACAAAATGCTGTCCAGTCCTGTGCCATCTCCACAATCGGTTGCACATCAAACCATTGTGATCCACAGGGTTTTCACTGGCTGATTTTTAGGAGACAACCAGTCCTTTCTTCCTAGTCCGTCTGAGTCTGAAAGCTCTGCAAAAACCTGTTCAGTAGCATAACAACATGCAACCCTCCACTGACAGACGGGTGGGGACTATGCATGAGGTGTATTGGAAAGCTAAAATTCTACCACTGAACCACTAATGCCCCCTAGTGACCTGTCATGATCCCAGCCTGGCAAAGTAAACATTCTCACACCCACCTTGGGAATGTTCTGGCTCTGCCCCAATTCTTAAGGAAGCACCCCAACACTGCTCCCATGGAAACGAACATTCCAATCCATCCTCCACATTACCTGTGGTTGGGGTTTTAGCTCAAGTCCCTTTCTCAAGAGAGCTTCAGATATACACTCCTCCCCACACACAAAAAAAAACTCGTACGAGTAAGTTCTAGCTCCACCACCTGCTACTCATTCTGGTCACATTCACATCTACGGAAACATTCTAGCTTCACCCCTTTTTTACACCGAAGCTTCTGAAACGTCCTCTAGCCCACACAGAAAAGTTTCCAACCCCACTCCTACCTCCTACCCCGACCGTAAAAGAACATTTTAAACCCAGCCCTCTCTCAGATATGTCCTAGCCCCACTCCTCAGCATCCTGAGACAGGTGCTGACGCTGCCCCTCACCCCTGCAAAAACTAAAGTAGGGCCTGTACCCACTGGTAAGGCTTCCTAATTCTGGCTCGGCTCCTCGGTCACCATTCTGCCCGCCCTGGTGTGGACAAAACTTCCTGGACCCGCCCTAGCTTTCCAGAAAAAAGCACGAGCCCGGACCCCTTGGAGAACACCACGGCCCCGCCCAAGGCACAACTTTCTGGCCCCGCCCCTAAAGACACATCGTCCTCTCGCCCAGCTTTCGGCTTTCCCAGCCAACCTTCTGGGCCCGCCCCTGACTCCTTAGGCAACATCCCGAAGCCGTCCCTACTTTCTCGCGTTATTATCCTGGCCCCGCCCCCAGCATCCCCAGGCAGCGCCCTAGCCCCGCCCCCGACTTGCCCAGACACCCTTCTGGCCACGCCCCCTGACTCCCACCCCGCCTCCTCACGTCATACCTGGCCCCGCCCCGCTTTCCCCAGTCAAGATTCTGGCGCCATTCCTCGCTGCCGCAACAACACTCTGGCCGCGACCCTGGTTTAGGCAAAACTTTCTCGCCCCACCCCAGCATGCCCCCAGCATCATGGCCCCGCCACCTAACACCCCGGCATCATCTTGGCCCCACCCTTACCTTCGCGTCAGCCTCTGGTTCCGCCACTGGTTTCCGGGCCAGCGTTCCAGACCCACTTCCAACTCAAGCAAACTTTCTGGCCCCGCCCCCGGCGCGTTCCGCGAGGATCCTAGCCCCACCCCTAGCTCGGCCGACAATATTTTGGCCCCGCCCCGGGTTCCTGGCAGACTTCCTAGCCCCGCCCCTAGCCTAGGCATAACTTTCTGGCTCCGCCCACAGCAACCCACCCACGCCCCGGCCCAGCCCACTGACGACCCATGCCCCGGCCCAGGCCACTCACCGACGCCCCGCCCCGCCAGCACCCCTCCAGCTTTCCATGTGGGCGTCCTGTCCCCGCCCTCCGCAGAGTACTCTGGCCCCGCCCCCGCGGGCTGCTCTCTACCCCGCCCGAGCCTGCTCCCGCTCCCGGCATGTGGAGCGACAGGCCCCGCCTTCCCCGGGCGCGCTCCTGGCCCCCTCCACCGGTCACCTGTCCCGAAAACTCCGCGGCGACCGCGACTCCGGACTGTCGGCCTCCGCGTCCACAACTCCCAGGGCGCACGCGTCACTTCCCTCCCGCATCACATGATGAGGAGAAATAAAGAGGGTCACATCCGGTCCCCGCGGCCCGCTTCCGGGAGTCTTAAAGGAGCGGCGCCTTGGCGGTGGAAGCGTGAGCTGGGTAGGCTGGTTTTCCCGATGGTGGTGCTTCGGACGCTTGTTCAACTTCTGTGTGGCACTGGACAGTGACTCCTGGAAGCCTGACCTGGTTTGACACCTTTCCTGCGGATGAATCTTAGTTGTTGTTGTCGTTAGGTGTCGTCAGGTCGGTTCCGACTCATAGCAACCCTGTGTACAACAGAAGGAAACACTGCCCGGTCCTGCGCCATCCTCACAATCCTTGCTACGTTGGAGCCCATCCTTGCAGCCACCGTGTCAATCCATCTCGTTGCGGGTCTTTCTCCCTTTCACTGACCCTGTACGAAGCATGATGTCCTTCTCCAGAGACTGGTCCCTCCTGATAACATGTCCAAGTATGTGAGACGAAGTCTGGCCATCCTCGCCTCAAAGAAGCATTCTGGCTGTAGGAACTTGGAATTCCAACTGATAGACTCCTTTGCTCAGTCTTTAAATCAGCGCTGAGTACTAACCGAGCCTAGCACTTAATGTTGGACGTTGAGGTGGAATTGAGATGATGAACAAGGTCTACCCCATCCCTGCCCTCAGGAGGGAGACACAGCAATTGTGAGAAATGCCTTACAAGAGACGCAGGAGGAGAAGCCTGAGGGTGTCAGTGGGTCGCTATCCAGGCAACAGAAATAGCCTGTGCAAAGACGCTGTGCAAAGTCAGCCTGGTGTAGTCCAGGTTCTGGAAGAAGCTCAGAGGAGCAAGCTAGATTTGGCTATGAAATTGAGGGGTTCATTAACTACAACTTACACATAATAAACCTATTATAAGTGATGACAAATGCAATGGAAGAACCTTACAGGAACAAGAGACCAGATTTCTGGACATTTTATTTTGTGATTTAAAACATGGAAAGTGAAAGTACCCGATAATTCCTTGCACCTTATATGGTGTCTTCGTTACCTAGTGCTACCAAAATATCGTAAATGGGTAGCTTTAGATAACAGAAATGTATTTTCTCACTGTTATGGAAGTTAAAAACTCAAATCAGGATCTCAACTAGGTCTTCTAGTATCACATCTGCAGGGATCCTTGGCTTCTATTTTTCAGTGTATGTGTGTGTGTGTGTGTGTATTCTGGTCTTTCGTAATTCAGAAGTGATAGGTTTAGGACCTACTCTACTCTTCTATAACCTCATTCACATCACAAAAGAAAACCCTATTTCCAAACAGGATCACATCCACAAGTATAGAAGCCAGGACTTCAGCACATATTTGGGAGGGACACAATTTAATCATAGACCAAGAGACAATTCTTTGAACAGAGCATCAAGAAAGGTGGGTGTCAGGGCTGTATCCTTTCACCATACCTATTCAATCTGTATGCTGAGCAAATCATCTGAGAAGCTGGACTAAATGAAGAAGAATAGGGCATCAGGATTGGTGGAAGACTCATTAACAACCTGCGATATGCAGATGACACAACCTTGCTTACTGAAAGCAAAAAGGATTTGAAGCACTTACTGATGAAGATCAAAGACTACAGTCTTCAGTATGGATTACACCCCAACATGAAGAAAGCAAAAATCCTCACAACTGGACCAATAAGCAACATCATGATAAATGGAGAAAAGATTGACGTTGCCAAGGATTTACTTGGATCCACAATCAATGCCCATGCAAGCAGCAGTCAGGAAATCAAAGGACACATTGCATTGGGCAAATCTGCTGTAAAACATCTCTTTAAAGTGGTAAAAAGTAAAGATGTGTCTTTGAGGACTAAGGTGCTCCTGACGGAAGTCATGATATTTTCAGTCGCCTCATATGCATGCGAAAGCTGAACAATGAATAAGGAAGACCACAGAAGAACTGACGTCTTTGAATTATGGTGTTGGTGAAGAATATTGAATATACCATGGGCTGCCAGAAGACGGAACAAGTCTGTCTTGGAAGAAATACAGCCAGAGCGCTCCTTGGAAGCAAGGATGGCTGGACTTCATCTCACGTACTTTGGACATGTTGTCAGGAGGGACCAGTCCCTGGAGAAGGACATCATGCTTGGTAAAGTAGAGAGCCAGTGAAAAAGAGGAAGCCCCTCAATGAGATGGATTGACACAGTGGCTGCAACAATGGGCTCATGCATCACAACGATTGTGAGGATTGCACAGGACTGAGCAGGGTTTCATTCTGTTGTACATGGGATCACTAAGAGTTGGAACCGACTCATTGGCACCTAACAACAACAATTTAATCTACAATTGCCCTGGTGGTGCAGTGGCTAAGTGTTCGACTGCTAACCAAAAGGTCTCTGGTTTGTACCCACCCAGCAGCTCCGCGGGAGAAAGACCTGGCTCCTGTAAAGGTTACGGTCTAGGAAACCCTACGAGGCAGTTCTACTCTGTCATATAGGGTCACTATGAGTTGAAATTAACTCAAGGACACCTAACAACAACAGTTAGCCTTTCAGAGGCCTTCTCTACACATGTTGTTAATCGCAGTGGGATAGAATCCGACTCAGGGCGACCTCACGTGTGCAGAGAAGAACTGCTCCATAGGGTTTTCAAGGCTGTGACCTTTCAGAAGCAGATCACCAGGCCTGTCTTCAGAGGTGCCTCTAGGTGGGTTTAAACTGCCAACCTTTCAGCTAGTAGTCAAGCATTTCACCATTTGTACCACCCAGGGGCTCCTGTCTACCTGTCCAGCTTAATTGTTTTTATAATTTCCCATCAAGTTCACTCCCTCACCTGCTTCATCTTTTTATTCAAACATCTCCTTCCTGGAGCCTTCCTTGAAACCACCCATTTAAAAATTGCAAAGCCCTCCCCATCCCATGTCCCTTCCCAGCTTTATTTCTTTATCTTACTCTTCACCCTTGCAACCACCATATTTTTTACTTATTTATCTTGTTCACCATCTGTTTTCCCCACTAGAACATCAACTTCATAAGGTCAGGGACTCTTGTCTGTCTTAGACTTTTGTCTGTTTTATACCTCTATGCATCCCTAATGCCTCCAACAGTACCTATATAGTAGCCTCTCAAAATTTATATGTTGCATGAACACGTGCATCTTTATTACTACTATTTTTTTCCATTTTTTATTAAAAAAAAAAATATGTCCTACTGTGGAATTCTGTTTGGCAATGGGTGACTGACAACCTTTTAAACTGCTCTATACATTCCACCCGATAAAAACCAAACCAAACCAGTTGCCATCGAGTTAATTCTGACTCATGGGGACCCAGGTGTTTTAGTGTGGAACTGTGCTCCGTAGAGTTTTCAGTGGCTGTTGTCTTTCAGGAGGCTGGGTGGTGCGAGTGATTGGTGATCTGCTACTAACCAAAAGGTTGGCAGTTCCAAACCACCTGATAGTTCCACAGAAGAAAAGCCCTGGTGATCTGCTTCCATAAATATTACCACCAAGAAATCCCTATGGAGCAGTTCTGCTCTATAACACATAGGGTCACCGTGAATCAGGGGCCAACTTAACGGGAGCTAACAGCAACTACATTATCCTTTGGAAGTAGATTGCCAGGCCTTTCTTCCCAGGTGCCTCTAGGTGGATTTGAACCACCCACCTGCCACCCTATAAATGTGCCATAATTGCCCCACCTGGTCTCATTAGGAGCCCGGGTGGCACAAGGGTTAAAGCAATTGGCTGCTAACCAAAAGGTCGGTGGTTCAAACACACCAGCCGCTCTGCAGGAGAAAGACGTGGCGGTCTGCCTCCGTAAAGATTTACAGCCTTGGAAACCTTATGGGGCAGTTCTATCCTATCCAATAGGGTCACTATGAGTCAGAATTGACTTGATGGCAGTGTGTTTTGGGTTTGGTTTTTGGTGTCATGGACATTTGAGTTGTTTCCAATTTGAGGAGATTTTGAACAAGGCTGCATTGAACTTCTGTAATCACATATCTCTTTGAATACGTGATCTTTAACTTTGTTCAAAAGAGCACATAATATCGTGGTTAAGAGTGTGGACACTGAAGCCAGACGGCCTGGGTTTGAATCCTGGCACTATCACTTACCAACTACATGACCTTGGGCAGGAGATGAAATTTCTCAGGACCTTAGTTTTTTCATTTTAAAACAGATGACAATAACACCTCCTGTCTTAGGGTTCTCTAGAGAAACAGAGCCAGTGAGTGTTGCTATGATGCTGAACAGGTTTCAGTGGAGCTTCCAAACTAAGACAGACTAGAAGAAAGGCCTGGTGATCTACTTCTGAAAAATTAATGAAAACCGTATGGACCAGAACTGGATGGTGCCTGGCTACCATTACTGAACATTTTTATCAGAGATTCTATAGAAGAATCCTGATCAAAAGCGGGAAAGTGTAGAACAGAATTTCAAATTCTAATGGAATCCATATTTTCTGGAGCCATGGAGGCTGCGTGAATCCCTGAAACTACTGCCCTGAGATAATCTTTAAACCTTAAACAAAAAAATATCCCCTGAAGTCTTAAAACCAAACAATACTTTAGCTTCACTAGTAAAGAATGTCTGCCTTGAGCATTGTGCTCTTTTGAGATCTACCTATATGGGATCAAATTGACAATAGCAACTCTAAAAATTAGATAGGAAGTTTAGAGGGCAGTGAGTTTATGTTAATGAAGGAGGAACAACTCAGAAAAGGAGGGTGAGAGTGGTTGCACAACTTGAAAAATGTAATTAGTGTCACTGAACTGCACATGTAGAAACTGTTGAACTGGTGTACGTGCTGCTATGTGTATTCCCGACAACAACAACAAAATTCAATAAAACAAACG